TCTTTTCCCCAGACCCGCGCTGCCAATAGGTCCCTCCCCCTACCACCGCATCTGGTTCATATATATCTCTTGCATCCATCCCTCCTCGCTGTTCCGTCTCGAAAGGTTTCTCGCTCTTCAGTCTCGACTCCATCCGTCTCTGGTGATACCCACTTCCACCCATAGAGGTCTCTTGTCTCTACACCCGACAAAAGACTTACACACCCTTCCGACAGTCGAACGAACTCTCGACTACCTTTTTTTCCTTCGTCGACACACCTCGTCCCTCGACGTCTCTCACACACGACACAGCCCATCATGTCGTACAGTTGGGTGGGAGCTCCCACGGAGTTCAATGGCACGAATCCCGACACTGGCGGTGATTCCGGTACGCTGAAGCCCCAACTGTGATCTCCCCACGACACCACTGACCAAAGTTTGCCCAACAGTCACCGAGAACCTCAACCAGTGGTACCAGAGCGGCGACCAGGCCTATATCCTCGTCTCCGCTTGCATGGTTCTCATGATGATTCCCGGTATCGCTTTCCTTTACTCGGGTCTCGCCCGTCGCAAGTCGGCTCTCTCGCAGCTCTGGGTCGCCATGATGACCTTCTCCGTCTGTGTTTTCCAATGGTACTTCTGGGGCTACACCCTCGCCTTCAGCGAAACCGCCACCAACGGCTTCATCGGTAACTTGCGCCACTTCGGACTCAAGAACACCCTCGGACAGCCCTCGCCCGGCTCGCCTCTGGTCCCCGCGCTTCTCTACTCTTTCTACCAGATGATGTTCCTCGCCGTCACCGCCGCCCTGACCGCCGGTGCCACTGCCGAGCGCGGTCGCGTCATTCCCTGCATGGTCTTCATCTTCTTCTGGGCCACCCTCGTCTACTGCCCCCTAGCCTGCTGGGTCTGGAACGTCAACGGCTGGGCCTTCAACTACGGCGTTCTCGACTACGCCGGTGGTGGCCCCGTCGAGATTGGCTCCGGCATGTCCGCTCTCGCCTACTCCTGGGTCCTCGGCCGCCGCAACGAGAAGATGATGCTGAACTTCCGCCCTCACAACATCTCGCTCATCACCCTCGGCACCGTCTTCCTGTGGTTCGGCTGGCTCGGCTTCAACGGTGGTTCCGCCTTTGGCGCCAACCTCCGTGCCGTCATGGCTTCGTGGAACTCGTGCCTGACTGCCATGTTCGCCGCCATGGCTTGGTGCCTGCTTGATTACCGCCTCGCCAAGAAGTGGTCCCTCGTCGGCTGGTGCTCTGGCACCATCTCCGGTCTCGTCGCCGCCACTCCCTGCTCCGGCTTCATCCCTCCCTGGGCTTCCATCATCCTCGGTGTTGTTGCCGGTGTCGCCTGCAACTTTGGCACCAAGGTCAAGTTCATCCTCAAGATTGACGACTCGCTCGATGTCTTCGCTGAGCACGGCATCGGTGGTATCGTCGGCCTCATCTTCAACGCCTTCTTCGCCACCGAGTACATCATCGGCCTCGACGGTGTCAACAACGGCATCCAGGGTGGCTGGATCGACGGCAACTGGAAGCAGATGTACATCCAGATTGCTTTCATCGTCGCCGCCTCTGCTTACTCGTTCGTCGTCTCGGCCCTCATCGCCAAGGCCATCGACATGGTCCCTGGTCTCAAGCTCCGCGCCTCGGAGGAGGCGGAGCTCCTCGGCATGGATGACGACCAGCACGGCGAGTTCTCGTACGACTATGTCGAGGTCCGCCGTGACTTCCTTGCCTGGACCCCCCACCAGACCGAGCCCGCCGGCGAGGGTGTTCGCTTCGTGCCCCAGCACGGCATCGAGGAGCACCAGGTCATGGCCGACCGCAACTCGAACCCCAGCTCGCCAGAACCCGAGGTCAAGGCTGCGCCTGCTGACTCGGAGGCTGAGACCAAGAGCGAGAAGACGGCTGCCGTCTAAGCTGGTCACAACCAGCAACGGGACGGATGGAGCAGGGGCAGCAAAGGGGTTGAGGCGTTTTTCTTTTTCCTCTCTCTTTCCTCGTATGGAAATTTCGGGATAACACCAGACACAACTGGTACACTTTTTATTTGCATTTCTGGTCATTTGAACGGGCAGGCGGCGGGGTTTTCCCATCAAGCCGAACCCACAAGATAGAATATTCCTTTGAGAGCGCGCGATGTATCAATACCCACGACTTTACCAGTCGAATACTGAACATTCATCATACTTTGCGGATCCGTTGATTGCTGAGTGACATGGAACTGTGCCGTTGCCCTCCGCCTTGCGCGTGAGCACGCAGCGATACGCAGCCGAGATTTGCCATCAAACTTGTGGTGGCAGGCTACAGCCACGCCAATCGGGCGACGCAGGACGCGAGCTGAACATGGTCTGGGATGTGTGGGCATGACGCAGTTGGTTTAGGCTGTGTGTGAGATGGGACAGCGCCACGCGACTCGCGCTGGCCCCCCCCCCGCGCGCGCGCGAGATAACGACGTGCGCGATGAGTGGCTCGTTTCGCCGCGAGCACTTGTAGGGGGGCCCAGAGAGTTTCGGGCTGAGGTCGTGTCGACAGATGGGCAAGGGGGGCGCGTTCCCCGATCGAAGGGAAAGCTGAGGAATCGAGAAAGGGGTGGCGTCGCGCCGTGGGCTCATGAACAGCGGCTGGTGGGCAGATTGAGGAGCAGCTGGTGGACAGATTGAGCAGCAAGCTGGCGGGAAGATAAGGCAGACAGAGGAGAGAAGGGGCGTCCACCAGTAGAGAGAGGAGAGAGAGAGGAGAGAGAGAGAGAGAAAGGGTTGTGAGGCTAGAAAGGCCCAGGTCATTCCGTGTGCCAGCCGATGGGGTCAAACGTGTTGCCCGCCCGCGCTATATAGATTCCGAGAGGAGACACACGAAGGCGAGAGATGCGTGTGATCGCAGGCTGGGATGACAAGTCGAACGTCTGAATAGACGTTGGGTCCCCCCCCCCCCCCCCCGGCAAAGAGGAGCGCAGCGGCTCGCCTCGCACCCAAGAGATCGATGGTGTGGTTCGAGCCCCAGATCTTGGCCTCCATCGTGCAGCGGCGCATCTCGCAGTTTGCATGGCGTGCCGTTCTTCTTCTTCTTTATTTTTGGGTTCCTTGGGACGTGCCGACGTGCGGGCGCAACGAGTGATGCCCCTTTGGTGCTGGGATTCCTGGGGAGGATCGCTGGGGAAGGGGGGAAGGGGGGGGGGCGTGTGGTGTGTGGTGTTTGGTGCTTGGTGCTTTGATGGCGATCGTGCGGGCGCAGAGGGGGCCACTTGGCGTGGGTTTCTGCGGGCGTCAGCGAGTCTTTCGGGTCGCACGGCGGGGGATGGGGTTTTCTTATTTCAACTGCTGTTGCGTGAAGAATGCCGCAAATGCAGGGTCAGGAACAAGATGGAAACCCAAGACGTCGATGGATGGACGAGGTTGAAAGAAGGTGTTGAGCCGCATCAGGGACCAGTCGGGGGTCTCGTGAGGTTGGGGGGGTTTTCATCGCGTAAACGTCTCGTAACGCTGTGGGTGGTGAGTGGTGGACTGGGACGGGGGCCGCCTGGCACGAGATCTGGGGTACTGGGGCCCCGCCTAGACCCTGAAATTGTTTCTTCGTCTCATTTCTGATGGATGATTCCGTCTCAGTGGTGAAATGAGGTCATGAAGCCGACATTGCGGCCGGGTTGTGGTGTCGAGTCTGATGCATCGTGAGTTGTCCCCTGGTTGGGCGGCCACCATCGCCTAGACATGACACGAGGTCCTACGACCCACGACGTGCGCAGCCGTTGCTTCTCCATGGCATGCAGGTATAGGCATGACTGCCATTCTCATCATTGAGTACTCGCAGTTGAGCGTCGATTGACATCGGCTCGATCACCTTCGCTGCCACCTCACGTGGCAGCTGCCTCGTGCCTTCGGACCGTTCCGAATATGGCAGAGATTGGTAGAAACAAGCAGCTCCTGATTAACGCCGCCGCTAGAATGCCTAGCTAGGACACATTGGCGCTTCTTCCTCGGCTGCGTGGATCATTGCCCTCGGAGCATACGTCAGCTATGTTAAAACTCGATATCTACGCCAAGACCACTGTAACCACCTCTTCACCACGTCGTCGAACTCAAGTTAGTCGACAGCCTCTGAATGTCTCGATGAACGTTCCCACATGACCATCTTCGAGCTGTTCATCGGGGTCGTCCGTCGAGGCCATTCCTCAAGTCGGTTCTATGAAAAATATCGTCGCTGCTTAGGTAAATGGCCAAGCGTACCTTGTTCCTACATACGAGAACGACCTGAGCAAATCTCTCGATCTTGAGGAGATTTCGGTCAAACACCTGGCCGTAGCCTGCGCCTGACATCGAAGGGCCTTTGTAGCAAGTTAGGCTCATGGTTCCATTGCAATGACTCACGATGAGGCTGCTGCATCTTCAAACATCAACGGGAGCGAGACCACCCGCTCAATAGCCGGATTTGGGGCCCCAGGAATATGCTGTCTGCTGTATGACGAGGGTCAGGAGGACCGTCGAACCTGAAGACCGCATGACTCAGATGGAGGTCCGATGCACCAGACTATACCAAGACTGATGACGTCTCGGCCATTTCGCGTCAACGGCTCGCCTGCAACAGAGTCTGGACAAAATGAGATGTCCGAGAACACGACTTGAGACTCATTGCCATACAATCGAACCTGGCAGCGTCAACCGAACCTTTTTTTGGGACCATGCAACCGACGACCTGGATTCACGATGCTGACCTCGCGAGAAGAGTGCAGTCGTAGCTGGCTTATCGACGAATACTCGCTCATGAACTGCCTTCACTGGCATGGTCAATATAACATTCGACCACAGCATAGGGGAGAGAAACCCAGGCTTTGGTGTAGATGAAATTGCCTGTCAGCACAGAGAGTTATTCCATGGCATGTCTACGGACGTCTGACAGCATTTATGGCGAGACCACGGGCAGTCTGCTTCGACCATCAATCTAAACTCAGAAACCGTCACAATCAAACCCATCGAACATGGAAGATATGGCTAGACCACCCGCTCATGATGTAGCTGTCATTCAGTTCACAGACACGTCCCATCCGCCACGCCAGCGGCAAGGCAACTCCAGACAAGGCGTCCTCAAGCAACGCTCAATGGCCCCTCCTTGCCAACGGAGAGCTCCAGAGTCGGGCAACAACAGAGCGGCGCATGTCCCAGAAGAAACATCCGAGGTGACCGTTGTCAAACGCTCCATGACCTCGTCCGCCGCAGCGAGAACGAGACGCCCTACCTGGAGAACCACAGACTTCACGCGCGAACTCTTACCAATATGTGAATCAACAATCATCTCAGGAGTCCATATATTCTCCCAGCGGGCTGCTCCTCCAGGAACTATGCAACGAGAAGCGTCGAGGTGGCTTGGTGGCGTTCCCGAAAGCATCATTCGGAAACGCATTCTGGCAGGACCCGGCCAGAAGAGGTGCGTTTGAACATTTCACCCACGTTGCACGACTCCAGCGCGTCAGGGCTGGCAACGCTTTAGGCAGGCAGCTACGCCTTGGGATATGCGTATCAATACCTCAAGCTCTACAGAACTTGGAACACAACCGTTCGCAGGCCCCTCAGCTCCATGCTCGAGCCCCAACTAGTTGTTCCCTGTGGCGTGATAGTACCAGATACAAATGCACGGCATCGACGGTCTGTCGACTCGGAAGAAAAAAAAAGGCTTTGTACAAGCGAAAAAAATAGGTCGGCCATGTCCAAGCAACCTCATATATACAAACACACACCATAGCATACAGCTCCATCCATCCCTATACACTTCTCGATTTGGGCCACTCTCTTGCGGACCATCGTTCATATAGGCCTCCCATCATTCACCTCGCCAAACGGCCGCTGCGGCACCTCTCCAAAGCAGGCCCGATCAAAGTCTGCCAACTTCTCCATTTTGTCTTGTACTTCCAAAAACGTCTCGAACTCACACCATCCGTCCACCCGCCCCACGTCGCACTCCTCGAAGCTCACGCCCAGCGGTACCGTCCGCTGGTTCAGCACAAAGTGCACGTACTTTGTCTCCCCACCCTTATCAGCGTATCCTGAGCGGTCAGCCTTGACGGGCTTGGGTGCGCGGATGATCTCAATATCAAGCCTCGCAGCAAAGGGCGTCAGGTGAGAGACTGTGAGATTGTGCGTCTCAGGCAGCTTATCGCGCGGAAGGGGACCGGCAAATTGCGTAAGTCCAAAGGCCGTGAGAATCGAGGCAATGTTCGTGTCGTGCGAGAAGTCGAGGTAAAGGCTCTGATTCAAGGGAAAGGTCTCCTCCGAGGAATCGAGGGTTGTGTTGATCTGGGACCCTGAATAGCCAAGGGTATGGTTCTTGAGGCGGGCAATAACTTCTTGCTGGTAGCCAAGACCAACGGCACGCTGAGGTTCCAGTCAGCAGGGGCAGGGGGTAGTGGAAAGGTTGAGGCACTTACACCGGTGGGGTTGTGGAACATATTGTTGCCTGAAAAAGCGAGGTCCACAGAGTAGGAGAAGCCGAGCCATTCTTCGTAGGTGAAGAGCTCGCACCAGCGGCTATAACCGTAGGCAACCTAGATAGGTCAGCGTCCGCGCGTGCCGGTGTTTATATGCTGAACCTACCGTCTCGTATGGGCACATTGTCTGCGCAGCGTACGTATCCTCAATGGTCCAATCGTATCCCTCGATAAGCCCTTGAAGGCGAGTGGTAGCTGATTCTCGTCAGCAACAGTATCGAGCAAGCTCTGGAGCAAAGTATCAACTGACCGTTCGCTAGGTAGCGCGACTGCCAGTCCACCGAAGCCTCGGTCCCAACTTGGTGCTTCCAGGCGTTGGGACAACTGAGATAGCCAGCCAGTGAATTATTGAAGCCACCCTGTTCGATGATTACCTCAATCGTTGCGTTGTTGGTCCTTTTCGCGTCAGCGGAGGCTTCAAGCCTGACTAACATCCGGCGACTTACCACTCGAGCCCGAAGAAACCCGCAAGAAAGTACTCAGCAGACTTGAGCATACGGTCCTGGGTCTTGGGCCGTCAGCCATGACGATAAGCGAGGCACCATGGATGTGCGACTTACCGTGGTGCGAACGATGATCTTGCTATTCGTGTTGTACAGCTGTGAATACATGTACGAATGCAACACACCTGCCACTATCAGCATGAGGGCTAACGCCAGGGGGTGCGAGGCAGGCGGAAGGGTACTCACCGGACTCGAACAACTCGGATCGTCCCTTTGGTACCAATATCTCATGACCGAGCTCGTAGGTCCAACGGTTGAGGAACTCAAGCGCCCCTTTTGCTTTGAGCTTACCCGCAACGGCCTTGAGCCGGTCCCCGAGGCCGGTGACGCCCGAGTTCAGCGTCGGATACCGCGACCCATGCCTCGACAGCATTTGCAGCTGCACAATCTCGGCTCCCTCTGGTAGGCCATACTCGTCGACGCCGAATCCGGGCGAGGGCTCATAGGGCGCGAGGTAGCCCATCAACTTGAACAAACCCTCGTCCTGTGCCGCCATGCCCTCGATCGGCATGGCTGTCTGGAGCGGGCTGTTGGGAACGAAGCTTCCAGTGGGCACAAGACGGGTTTGCGCCAGGAAGGGGGCCCGCCCCGTTGCAGTCGGGCCGGCCCACAGCTGCGGCGAGGTCTGGAAGTGTTGCGGTACATCAGCCGATGTCTTGTTGCCGCCACCACCACCGTTGAGGCACTCGGCAAACCGACCAAGTGGCGGTGCCCGTGTGCCGTGCCAGGCGAGCTCGAGCACGAGGCCGGCGAGGAGGCATCCGGCGAGGGCACACCAGAAGACCATGGCGGGGCGGCGGCGACCGGCGAGGCCGACGGTCGTCCCGGGGCCGGGGCTCATGAGCATGGGTGTGGACGGCGGTGGCAGGGCGGGCAGGGGCTTCTCGGGAAGCTGACGGCCGGTGTTCTGGTTGCTCGGGCCGGCGGGCGTGTCCTGATACCGCTGCTGGCGTGGAATCTGGCTCTGGTGCTGGCCTTGACGTTGTTCCAACTCCCATTCAGGTACACGCTGGTACCCGCCAGGACGGAGTCGATTGGGCCGTGCCGCAGCCGTCATGTTTGTCCTCGATGCAATAGGCGAATGTCACGAGAGAGGCCTCCGTCTTCCGGGGAGGGGCGTCTTGCGACTCGAGTGGTGTGGGCCCAAAATTGTTTGCTCGTCTGATTCCGGGTTCCAAGCTCAGGAGAAAACGGCGGTCGTACCAGAACGCAATGTACCGATGAGAGGTGTGGGCTGATGCGGCAAGGCGCCCGGAGGCTGGGGCGGGCCGTGGTGCGCGGGCGACAGCAGTGGTGCAATGAAACTGACCGGGTGGGGGGGAGAGTACGATGGGTGATCCGACCGTATCACAACGAATGGGCTAGCCGGGCCAAGATCGAGAAAGTAATCAGAAGCCTGACGCAGATGCAGACGCCGACGCAGTCGCAGGCGCAGACCCAGGCAAGCAAGGCAAGGAAAAGGGGCGGTGGGCCAAGACCCAGGATCCGGATGGAAGAAGCAACGAGAGGCCCCCCCCCCTGGTAGGCGATGGATTGGTGTTTCAATGGGGTCATGTACGCCAGCGGACAAATTTCTGATTCTCCGACTCGGAGAGGAACGTCAAGACGAACGTTGTGTCAAAAGATAAATGATGATGTGACGTGGCGGCGGTGATGGTTGTGGGAGGTGCAGGTGGAGGTGGTGATGTTGATGATGATCTAGATGATCTAGACAGGGTGTCAAACGAAAAGGAATTGATGCCAAGCGAGACAAGCGATGGCGGGATGGATGAGGATCCCGAACGAAAAGGCTTCTGCTGCTGCTTGAAGAAAGTCTAGGCCATGCCTACCGGTATTGTGATGTAATGCGCGGGACAGTTTGATCCGGGAAGGAGGGGGGATTTGCTCTGCGATGGTCGAGTCGACTGGTGGTTGAGGTGGTGGTGATGGAGGATGAGCTGAAGTGAGGGCTAGCGCGGCACATTGGGTATAGGGGCCCGGAGCTGCTGGAGCTGGCGCTAAATCTGCAGCAGCTGCAGGAGCTACCCAGCTCAGGTACTTACCTAAGGTACTAAGGCAGGCAAGGCAGGTAAGGTAAGGTAGGGTGAGGGGGCAAGGGTGGCAAGGGGGCACCTGCCTGAGGTCGAGAGACCTTCCAGGACCAAAGGACCAATAGAGTAGAGAAGAAGAGATGACAGGTGGGGTCAAGTGCTGGAGGAAAATGCACCGCCTCAACGGTCTCCCTCCCTGCCCCATCCTTACCCACAGTCAAGCCACAGCTGGAACGACATGCCACGACCACGTCCCTCCGTCACAGAAATGCGCGGTGCAGTCAGTGCCTGCTTGCACGACGCAACATCTTAATTGTTCGCACAAACCACCTCAAGTTCAGCGTCCCTGGTGGGATGTCACAACCATGACGGCACGGGACATGGGCCTATTCAACCTCCATGCGCTTGATGGCCGGTCTGCTTTCCCCGTCCGTCCATCCAGCCGTTCCATGAGGCGCCCAAAGCCGGCAGAGCAGTCCAACTCCTCCCCTTCAATGTTTGCTTTTCCCCTCACTGCCTACCTAGGTACCTTAGATACCTAAAGCCCCTTAGCGCTAACAATTCAGATATTGGCACACCACGTCTTCCCACACAGCAACTTGTTGCCAGCACCAGCCGCGCCGGCACCTCGGCCGCCCTCAAACAGCCACATCGTCAGCTCAGCTCTCTCCTTCTTCTTTTTTTTTCTTTTTTTTTGCTCGTTCTAATCTTTTCCCCCTTACTTCTCCTGTTATCCGCGAGGACCATTTCCAGGCCACACCCACACGCGCACGCCCCCCCAAGACAAAAGCGGCTCACATCAATTGACATGGCAAGGACAAGCGGCCCCTTGCTTGGGTGTGCATACCTACCCTCGTCCGTGTCTCAGAGTACCATTGCTCACCATGCCCAGGCCGGAGATCCGGATGCCTGCAGCGGCCTACTCACCCACACAGACTGCATCGCCATCGTCACAGTCACTGGCCGAGACCGGCCTGGACCTCATAGGAGGGTTCATCCCGTCGAGAGTTGCTATGTGACCACTCGATCCCAGGATCGACCAGAGACCGGTCAACTCGCAGTTTCATCCCACTCGTCCCTTCCCTGCTCTATCCTCCCCGCTCTTCCTTTGAGATGACTTCACGATGACCGCCATGACAACCCGACTGTTTCGCCGCCAATCACCCATCCCTGGATGCCCTGACGGGGGAAAGCGAAGGGGGGAGGGGTCGCATGGGGCACGGGCGAGCAGGCAGCCGCCTGGCATTCTTACACCGACCCAGTGCCACCGCCGCCGCCGCCGCATTACCCGTTGACCGCTCCCGCGCGCGCCCCGTCCCGACGCCGTTCGTATGCCGCACCCTTCTCCCCCCCCCCCCCCGCCCTTTCGTCAGGCTATCCTGCCCCAGTTTCTGAAAAGGAAAAGAAAACGAGGTCGAGAGGAGAATGTGTTCCCGCGATCCAACCAGCCGGCGCCATCACAAGGGAGTCCCACGCTGCCCAGAGACACCTACCGCCTGCAGCCCCCCCCCTCCCCATGTTGGCGAAAAGGCAACCTCTCCTGCGCCGGTCCTGCTTCCGGAAACTACTAACAGTACTAGTACATGAGCCCGGGGGTTTTAGCCCGGGCTATTGTGCCTGGCTCCGTTCATCTTTTCGCGAGCACATGCAGATCTGTTAGCAACCACGTACCTCTCAGTCTTGTGAATCAGTACGCGGAGATCCCTCGGGACTAATTCATGCGGGAGGCCGTGGTCGACCATCGCGCTCAGAGGCATCGCGCCAAGCACATACTGTGGTACACTCTTCGATGAACGGTTCGTACCATCCGCAGCTCCCAGACAGGGCCGTAGCCACTTCGTGTGGGACCACAAGATTTAGCATGATCGAGAGCAATCATCGCCTGCCCGACCTTCGTCGGCTGGCGGCCAAGCATCTGCCTGTAGACTTCCCGGCTGGGAAGCGCGTAGCCGCCCCACCCACATCATAAAGTTGCCATTGAGTCCCTGCAGCCAGCCCAGCATCGGTGAAGAATTTACACATGTGGGTCTCCACCAAAACGAAGTTCCAGCATCGAGACCGCTATCTGCACGTCTCACTCGATGCGACGAAACCCATGCCTATCAACCCGCAAGACCTTCGTTCGGGTATTCTGGGAACGGTGAACTGAGATGATCTGCCCCGCGTGGATTGTGCGAGTTGTCAAAATTTGGTCTCAAATGCGGTCATCGATTCGGTCGACACGTTGACACGCTACTTCGTTCGTACCTACTGTTCATCTTGCACACCCGTGCTTGGCGCGCTGATACGCATTAGCTTGGATCCCCGTGTGCGAAGCTGTTCGTATTTCAAACATGTGGTCCATGAAGACCTTTCAGCAGGAAATGACCAACGACCATCAGGGGACGAGTTGAGAAGAGTAACCATGATTAATTCTCGGAGCAAAAGCAAACAAACTTTTAGGGTCCGACCCGATTCGTCAACAAGAACGAGAAACCCAAACCACCAAAGTGCTCGCACGGACTGTACTGTAGACCACCCATGCACCATGCAAGCCCCAACTCCTAGTTTCTTCTCTACGTAGGGTAATGCTCCCAGTCAATCAAGTTCACCGTGACGCCACGTAACCAGGTCTGAACCATCATTCCGCCAGGGGTATCGTAGGGGGCGCTGCCGGTCTTGTTCCACACTGATCGCAAGGGTTTGTTTCCATCAGTTCGTGTTGATGCGAAGTGGAAAGAAGCCTTCCGGCATAGGTTCCAAGTGCCACGCTCGGTCCGCGTCCTTCTCGAAAGCGTCAAACCAGTCGCGCTTGAGCTCATCTGGGATGGCCCAGCCCAGCTGGCTGTCGCGAAGGATCATGCGCACAAGGTGGCGCTTCTCATGAGACCCTTCCCCGTTAACAAAGCCTTCCCGGCGGTGGAGGACCACAAGGTTGTTGATGAAGTGCATGTCTCCGGCCTGGGTCTGGATTTCGAGTTGCGTGGCCTGCGCGATGGCCTCGACGGCATCCAAGGCCTCGACCTGGCGCGCTGACAGGGCAGGAAGGTGTTCAGGCCTGGGATGGGCGGCGCTGCCAAGAAGTGGAGCCCGGCCGAAGTTGATGATTACTTTGCCTTGGTGGTTGAACAGAATGGGACGGCAATGAAACCGGGGGCTGTGGAAGTCATGGCGTCAGCGTACCTGTCTCATGAAGTGCTGAGTGACGGATAATGGGCGCTGTGCAAGACTTACTACGCGAATGGCCAGTCAGAGCGGGCGAGTGTGCGGATGATGTCTGGCCTGGTATTCGCAAGGACATTGTATACCGTGTGGCCAGATGCAATGATACATTTGCCTCCTGCAATAGCCGTGCTTCTGGTAAGCCAACTCACAACATCACCTGCTTCTTCATTGTGGAATGTCTGGTAAAAAGAGTCAGCCGTGGGGCCATCCAAAGTGTGAATGGAGAACTGACAATAGAGGAAGTGGAGTGACGATGGTGTTCCGCATGCTGAGCCGTTGAGTTATCGGCTATAATGTGGACTGGTAGCACAACATCATCAGTCGCCACACCCAAATATGCCGAATGACAGCACGCTAATTCCAAGACACACTCACCGAGCATGTTGCCCTTCTTGTCTTGTCTTCCTTGCTCGTTGGCAATGTAGACCTGGATACCCAGGTACAAAAGCGTCAAGTCCTCAACACAATATTTCCTAGGGTCCAGGCCACGAACCACTGCGAATCCTCGACCAGAATTCACGTCCTGGGAGACCTGGCGCAGCGTGTCGCCGAGAACAGGTAACTTGAAGGTGTCACGGGTCACATTGCCGCCATCTTGGCCGGAGTCTGAGAGCAAGGTCAGCAATCCTGCGCGGCGGGAGTCTGAGAGAGGGGGGAGGGACGTACTCTTGAATGTTTCCAAAGCATTCTCCAATTCCTTGATGTCGGCAGCCGACAGGTTGAGAATGGATTTGTGTGAATCAAGACTGAAATCCTGGCCAGTCCACGAGGACTCAGTGTTCAGGACCGATGGAAAGCCGCCTGGAAGGCCGGGCATATCAGCAGCGGGTCCATTACAGCCATGGTCTTTGAATTCCATCTGAGAATAGCCAAGGGCAGGCCCAGCTATTTTGAAAGACATCGTTGCGGCTGTGACCGTGCGTTGTCAGTAGACGTGGATGATGGGAGACGTGTTTTAGGGCTTTGCACCTGTGACGGATGATGTTTGTGCGTGTGCTGAAGGAAAGGGCACCGAAAATATAGAGAGTGACTGTGAAAAGGGAGGGCAAGCTCTTGAAAATGATAGTGGGCTCTAACAACAAGATCCTTCAGGGAAGTCTAGCTGCTGGGAGGCAAACGCTGATGTTTCTGATGATGTATGATGATGATGAATGCAGAGGGATGAAATCGCGAGTTGATGGTAGGAAGAAGTCGGCCGCTAGAAGTACTCAATGCAATGTAGCAGCTCGGCAGTCATGAACAGAGGCTGGGTGTGGTCTTTCTATAAGAGGTCAGGGTCTCATATCAAGGCAAGAGGACACGAGCAAGGCAAGGGACGATAGGCAGGCAGGCGCGGAAAGGCAGATGAAGGACGTAGCTTTCTCAGAAGCAAGCACAACCTCGCAGACGACTCGTACCCCGGGGGTGATTAAAAGGGACCTCCCACGAGAGGCTTGAGTAGAACTCGGTCGCGACGGTCCGGTTTTTTCCTTCCTTTGTAGACCACAGTGTTCCTTTTATGTTTCACAGCTCTCGGCTCTCGAGCTGGCGATGGATGGCGGCGTTCGGCGTGCGGCTTCAGGCTTCATGGCAACGGGTTTGAACCCGACATGGATACCTTTGTACATGGGGGAGGATGCTATATATGTGCAGATAAGGAGGCGGAGAGGGTGTATAAAATTGAGGCAGGGTAAGGCAGGGTAGCGACAACGTTTTCAAGGAGGACGTCCATGACGACTCGGACGCGGAAGCAGGGTACCAGAACCTCTGCTTTTGCCCGGTCCAGAAAAGGCTTTTTTTGAGGTTCAAACTCGGGCAAGGACGAGGGCAGGAGGTGAGAATTCTGACTCCCGGTCCAGTCAGTTGGGTCATGAGCTTTCGACCAAGCCATGGCACTCAATGGCCATTGGTAGGCGGGGGGTTGGGGACCACGGGTAAGATGAGAAGGCAGAAGGAAGGAGGAACGCAAGCCAGCCACATGTTTCCCAGCGATCCGGTAGACCATGAGTCCCCGGGTGGTGGTGAAGGAAGGAGGTGTGCTTCAACGGCGCGCACGCCTGCCGATAAAATCTGGTCAAGACAGTGCAGGAAGGGACGAGACAGGACGGGGCAAGCGCGGCAGCGGCCCGTGTAAAAGGCAAGGCAGGACGAAGATTGAGGACGTGGCAAGGAAAGAGGAGGGGTGTGAAGGATAGAAAGGAAATCAATGTCAACTGGTACTCACTTGATGTGCGGCAGCCGTTTCACAGCGTACAAACCTAAGACCTACCAGTTTTCGGCAAGGCGCGTTGCACAGCAGACGGCGAGGGCGGCCGGTCCAAGTATTGGGCCCCCGGCCGAGTGCGTGGAAGGCGAGCCTAGATCGATTCGGCAAGATGAGATGAGGTAGGCGGGTATGTAGACCGGGAAGGCAACGGCAGACGTACCTAGGTAGGTAGTATAGTAGACGGGTACTGGCGCTACCTAAGCCAGGTGCAAACCTGGGCAATGGGCCTTATCAGCCAACGGCTCCTCAGGAAGGAGCTGCAGCGAACGACAAGTGGTATATGACCCTTCAAAGGCTTGTCGACGATCCTTGGCGGAGACTGACGAAGAAAGATGGCCAGCAAAAGGGGGAGCCTCGGCAGATAAAGGGAGGTGAGGCATCGAGGGCACAAGAGAGAACGAAAGAGCAGCAGACTAAACCTTGACAGGCTATCTTGGCTGGCGGGCAGGTAAAAGAAAGGCATGACATGTGGTACGCATTGTGGCAGGCAATTCCAAGCAAGCGAGCTGGCCAGCAGATGCATGGAAAGCAGGCGCGGCCTGATAGCAACGGGAGGAAGGGAGGAGCAACGGTAACAGCAATTGCAGCATCAGCAGGGGTGATTGAAAGGTGGCAGAATGGAGTCAGAGAGTGGGTGGCCTGGAGGAAAGTAGGACTGCCAGACCGGTCTTACCCGCGACGGAGACTTACCCCGATAGCTGGAGTCGTCGTTCAGCTGCGTGTCTGAGAAGGACACACCAGTGTACCTAAGGTACGGTAAGTACCTTAGCTTGGAAGACTCAATGTCAGCGCAGATACCTCAGCAAGGGACGGCCCGGCTCTTTCACTTGGAGGCGCACAGCATCTTGGCTCAAGATTAGAAAGGCACGCTGGAAGGCAAGTGATCCCTTAGTGTTCATTAGACGTGTTGAAAACCCGGTACTTGGATCCCAGGTTCGCCTGAAGGATCATATCCCGGTATCGGTGCGGGAAAAATGGCCAGCACCCATTATGATACAGAGATGGCAGAAAGACCGGCTGGCTCGCACGACGATGTGTTCCCCGCCCTCACCCTGCTTGGGTGTGCTTCTAGGAAATGCTTGGACAATGATACCTGAGGGGTGGGGGGTTTGTAGACATTTTTTCTTTTTCGGACCCAGAACGGCGCATGCAGGAGCCCGTGCAGGCGACATGCCCACAAACCCCAGCCAGGTCGTGTCAACCTTGCAAAGTCAGGCGAGGACCTCGGTGTTGGCACGCCTGTCGGTGGTTAGCGGCAGCCGCTCGATTGAGCATCAGGCTGTCCTCACCTCTCCTGGTCTCTGCGCGCGTCCATGTCGTGACGCCTTGCCCGCCGTGATACCACAATTTGAGACCAATTCGAGGACACCCGCCTGCGGAACGTTGGCCGGGTCGCTAGCCGTCTCCACTGTCAGCCCAGACGATCCGGGTTCTCAGTCCCGTGGCCATACATCGGCTGGTCAGTCCGACGAGATGTGGTGCTCTGGTGATGTTTGTGACCCGATCGACGCTGCAAATAGGGTCACAAAGCAAACAGGAGGGCTCTACCAGACCTTGTTGTGGGTACATGATACGGATCCGGGACGTAATCTCAATCATCGGTGAGCACCCGTGGTGTCAAACCTTGATGAAGTGGAAAAGTACATTTCGAGAGACGTAAAGAAAAGAATCGTTGGATGGGCAATGCTATCAAATTGGCGCTGGGCAAGACGCAGACAGCACAGTACCCATTCTGGAGATGGACCAAAACGCGAGGAGGTAGGGCAGAGAAAAGAAGAAATATCTCATCAATTGGGCGGGGACGATGACCTGCATTGTGAGTAGATGTGAGTAGACATGTGTCCTTACGGTTCTGCTGCCTTGGGGCAAGGTCTCAGTCGTGTGCGTAGATCGATTGATAATCGAGGTAATCCTAGGATGATCCCTTCGGAAGCTGAGCCGCGTCAAGAAATGACAGTCGTCGAAACCTGTCGTTGTCCCCCCCCCCCCCCCCTTTTCCCCCCACGGACGTGGAGCCGTACTCCATATCCATTAAACTGGAGTGAGAGTCATTGCGCACCGTCTCATATACTAAGCCATTGCATGACACAATCGAGTTGCACAAGATTGGTACCCTTGCGATGTCATGGAGACCGTGGCAACGGTCAAGAACTGAAGGCTGAGGCAAGAGGTGCAGGGGCCGGTGTTCCCATCTGTTCCTGATAGCTTTTTGTCGTTTCCACAGACTACAAACATGCTTTTCAAATCGTATCGTTGCGAACGTGGTATGCAGGTGTCAATGCGCTACTCGTGTCCTGTGCATCACGAGCAGGCATTCCCTTACACGTAGAGACCGGTTGCAACAACGTCTCACGATACTTACGAACAGCGGAATACTAGAACTGAGCAAACTGGAGCTCTTCATGAACTTTGCCCATAGCTGCCAAGTTCAAGAACGTCTTGTCCGTAGTTGATTCGTCGTGCGCGGTGCGCTTTGTTCCAGCGTTACGATCGCAGTGATGCGTGGTCAATCGACAGGCTCAGCGCAATATTGTTTCGTGGCCTTGATGTTAGGTAGTGTGGCGTGTCCCACTTGCGGCAAAAGGTGAGGGAAATTGCAGGTGAAGGAGAAGAAGAGGAAAAAGAAAGCAGACAAGGGGGCTGAACGTTACGTGCGGGATACTGGGACCTGGACAGGTCAAGTTGGTTTCGTCGTCGACTTACCCTACCTATTGAGCCTACCTTGCCTACCTACCTTCCCTACAAAGCACGGGAACAGGGGAAATAGACTGGCATGTTGACTGAAGCCACAGAGTGGATGCTCGGTCAGGGCTGCGGCGAACCATTTCGAGATGATTCTGACCGATGTGGAAGCGAGCTCCGCTCCTGTAGGTCGCCCGAAAAGGCTGGATATGGCCCACCTGCTAGCGTCCGGCTGGGAGTATCCGGGCAAGCCGGGCCCCGAATCTTAGCGCTCTCCGTCCTTTCCCCACCCCGTTTTGGTACGACTTTCGTTCCTGGCGTACCTTTTGTACGTACCTCATCTCCCTAATCCGATCCGCCCTCGATTATGAACGAACTGAACGATGGCCATCGACATCTGCGATTTCAGGCGTTGATTCATTTGTCTTGCGCACATTCGATCCGAGTACCTGGTAACCCCACGCTACCTCGCACACCGTGGGGGAAACAATCAGAAGGAAGAAGAGGTTCCGAATTAGCCAACGATTTTGTCCCAGATCTATCACAGTCATTGCCTTGTGCGTCGTTCAGACAGCAGGCGGTCGGAGTACGCCCAGGTTGTTCCCACGCGGCACTCGACCTTTGGTCATTTCCCTCACGCACACGACGACTGTCCACGCCCGGGCTGCCCAGACCAGACCCTCGACACTGTGGGCGGTAAATCTGTGGCCCATAGCCGAGCATTCGAATGACGACCACAATATCTACCTCCTGTTTTCGTACGCCTGCATGACGCCTGAGCGTTGTTCCCGGATGAAACATCAATGGCATCAGATGGCACAAAGGAAAGAAAGCCACGTTGCAGACTTAGCCACCCAAGAATCCCTGGTCGTCCTGACCACCCCATTATAGTTCCACACCCGGCTGCCAGTTGTGCTCGTACAGTTGGCTGACCCAGAAGTAGCTATCTTCAAAAGCTTTCTTCCGCTGCAGCTCCTCCCACTGTCCCTCTGCATGTCGGTTAGCCGGGTCCTGCACCCATAAAACTCGGATCCTGCCCGAAAACTGACGGGCCAGGCGGTAGTCTCCCGCCTCCCGAGATTTGTCGGACCCTCCAGTGCGGCAAACCTGGGATAAAGAAAAACTTACTATGAGACGTGGCCCAGCGTCTAGTCTCATGTACAAAGTGCATCGACTGATCATCGAGCTCTGCAAGCCCCCGAAGGTCTTGATCCCGACACTCGTCTGAGAAGGGGAAAATGCCCTTGTTGCAGTAGTGAAAGTAGGCTAGCAAAATTGTCGCACCTGTGGTAGGGGCAAAATAGGCCACCCGGTTAATGCTGTGCTCTATGGTCTAGTTTGCATATATGTCATCCGCCCCTCCACTCACCTTGTTGGTATTGCTTCACCTCCTCCTCTCTCGCATAGCGTCTCTGTTGAGCCATATCTATCAGCATATTTTCGTCGTCACATGTTCGGTTGGTACATCAATCGACGCGTCCTTCCTCGTCTCTGAAACGGAGGGGGAGGAGAAGAACGACTTGCGAGACGATTATGGCATGGAAGGGAGTGCCCACCTTCATTCCATGCTTTCGTGCATATCTGGCATCGTGCTCCGTAATCATGGCTGTGTTATGCAAGAGAATAAACGTGACGAGGTAGGTGGTGAGCCAAGTCTTCTGTTTGTTAGCTTGCGTCATCTTCTGGAGCATGTCCAGCATCTCACGCCGCAGCTTGGCTTGGATGTGTGTGATTAGGACAAGGTCGATCTGCGCGCCCATGACCGGTGGGAGAGGTATCTTTCCGTGTTGAGGGCTCGTTTCATTCAATATCTTCGCGGGCATCCCCAGTGTGTCGTTGCCGACAATGACAGTTGATGTTGTGGTCAAACGAACGGCCATCCACAGCTCGAGCACTTTGTTGAGCAGACCAGTCTCATCCTTATCCAAGTGCTGGCTGTCACTTAGTTTCCACGCTAGATAATAAGTGCCCCATAGAAGGTTTCTTTCGGCTCCGAGCACTCGGTCGAGAACAAGCACAAAGGAGTTGCGGATGCAGTTCTTGATGTACATTGTGTATGCTCGTTGAGCTTCATCCAAATCGACAATGGCATACGGAGGAATGGTAACGGAGTGTTTGATACCATCCTTAGCGCACCATGAACGATCCAATTTGTCGCCTTGTTGGGGAATGAATCGTTTGACACGCAGTTCAACCGGGCTGTTCGACAGACCCTCAGAGATTTGAATTTTCCTCTCGTCTGGTGAGTCCCAACTGGCTATATTGTCCACGATGCTGTCCTTCCAGCGTTGTGTCCACTCGTAGCCGTGAACCTGACCGGGCTTGAAGAGCTTCACGTCAGTCAGCTTCGCGCGGAGGCAGGGCAGTCGCCAGATCTTCGAGTTTTGTTTCGTGCTGCAGGTCAAGCACGCTCCGTGTCTATCGTTTTCATTTGCTTTGCACTAAGCAGAATCGTTAGCAAACCACGGGTGCCAACATGTGGTCTCGCAAAAAGATGCTCGGGGTTAACATTGAGGAGACATACGCGTATGCGCTGCATTCTACAGCGAATACAGGACCCAATACGCCGAGTTTCGGCTGTCTGTTCTCGCTTGACCTGATCGGTGAAAGGGCCCCGCTTTGCGGCTGCAGGTTTGCTATTTGTGAAAACAACGTCCAGATTTCGACTCGTCCTCTGCGCATCAAAATGCTCTCGTTTGATGTTTGAGTCCGAGAGGGCGTATGAATTCGCCATGTTGAAGGTTGCGTCAACGACAGGCGTAAGGGGTAAGTGCAAGTTGACAGTAGGTGTGTCGTCGCTGTAAGGTAAAATGGGCGCTTGGTCGCCAGCCAGTTGCTCTTGGTTATACATGGAACCGCCGGGCAAGTTGGCAGTATGGGTGACTTCGAAGACAGAGTGAGCGGCAAAGTAGCCAGAGGCCGCCGATGTCGTTGGGAAGAACATGACATCTTGCGAAACTGGCTGCGGGGCAACCTGATTAGGTTGTGGGACGTCGTGATAGTTTGGGGCCAAAACCCGATCATCCCCAGTAAAACTTGACTGGGGATCTGGACCGATGGTCATGGGCAGGTAGCTCTGGTCCTCTGAAGGCAGAGCAGACGGCTGCTTCTCTGTCTCGTAGGGCCTAGATGACCCATACTCTTGTGGAACCGAGTGTGCCAGGGCCTGATAGCTCGCTGGAGTATCGTCAGTTTGTGAGGTGGTCAGCAACGAAAGGACATGCTGGTAAATACCTTCGGGCGTTTCCAACCGCGTGAGGCAGGTCGTACACATGAGCATTTTCAGGTGGGCGAGAGAGTCACCGAGGACACCATGCACGCCGCCCAACGATGGCACCTCCATTGATGACCGAGGAAGGGTGGCATTGTCGACATGTCGATAGTCGTCCTGCGAACGCTTTTCCTGGCTATCGTGGGAGAAAGCGTCGCTAAGGTGAGAGGTTGACATGGAGTAACCGTAGGAAGATCTTTGGCGTTTCTGCGCTTGGTCGAGGACGGCTAATTGGTGAAGCCTGAAGCCTGTAAGGCCATAGGGTGAGGCAGCTTGTTCAAGATGAAGCTGATGTTCGTAAGGCAAGGAGGAGAAGTCCAAGTCAGGTTGGGAGAGCTGTGAGGGATACGGGGGTGCTGGCTCTAATGAGTCGATGTCGTCATGGCCGAAAGGGCGCCTTCTCTTCAAGCTGGGATTGTTCTAGAGGAGACCGTTTGTCAACCATCGACAGTTCGCCTCTGGTCAAGGGGATCGGGAAACTCTGAGGGTGGGATGGAACAAGAGAAAGCAAGGGATGACAGGTTCGGGACAGGCATCGATGTGAGGGGGGCTGAGACGTGAGGATGTGGGTGTATGGGCCATCAGGCTGGGCTGGAGGCGTGATTGATATATGTATCCATGCAGCTGCCGCCTACCGGGGACCAGGGACGATTCTTACCATGATGGATGGAGGGTGGGTGTGTTGGACAGAAGCCGGGCTGTAAGTAGGAGCAACATGTGCAAGTACCACGGCTGGTGGGACGTGCCAGAGCAGAGACAAGCAGAGAGCAGGAACAGGCAGATACAGCTACGCACAATCGGCGCGAAAAAATGTGCGCCTCACCGGGAGGGGGTGGGGAGCTACGGTCTCACGAGAGCCATTGCTGCACCATGGCACCCTTGCGCGGAAGTGGAGCGCGGCAAAAGAGTAGAGAAGGGAAGGGACAATGGATGGCTCGATGAGCAAACGTCGGGGAGGCGTGGCAGAGTAGCGAGGATGTGGATGTAGACAGGAGTCGGGGTAGAAACGGAGTAAAGCCAATTCGGCTGTACCCAGCAAGTGATGGGGGTTGATGAGAGATGGAAAAAGTGAGTCCGCTGCTGGTGGAAGAGGACCCTGCTGCTTGTGCGTTGAACTGCTGCTGCTGCGGCTGCTGTGCTGCTGACGCCGACAATGCTGCTTCTGATGCTGCCAAGTCTGTCTGCTGCCGCTGTTTGACCTTTGGCTGGTCTGTTCACTCGCTGCCTGCCTGTCTGTCCGTCTGTCTGTCTGTTTGCCCACCTGACGATGCTTCGTTTGACGCCCTAGGCATGGAAAGCACGGTAGCAGCTCTCAGGATGCTCGGCAGATGGTGGCGTGGGATTTGCGTTGTGCAATGTTTCGCCTGCCGTGGAGCAGTCAAGCCTGCGCGTCCTGGGATGTGAATAACGTGCCGGTTATACGTGCTGGCAACGGCGATTGGGTATCTCGAGAGCTGCCTTCATCGAGTTTGTCGAGGCTGAAGGAGAGGAAGTCACACCGAGATCAAATGCTGCACCCGTGCTCAGTTGTACTTCTTACCGGTCTGAGGGAAACTCGTGCCCAACAGAGGACAAGGGTCCCTTTGGGGGGGATGCCACGCGAGAGCAGGGCCAAGAACTCGTCCCGTCCCTGCCAGGGCATCCGGCAGGTTGGGATAGGCTGAATAGGATGTGAGGCAGGGGTGCAAATGATGAGCGTGGCTGATCCTTGCCATGCTGCTTAGTCTGTGTAACCACTTCTAGCCCGGATGTCTCAGTGCCTTGGCCATGACTGTACGG